TACACTACTACACTATACACTACTACACTATACACTACTACACTATACACTACACTACTACACTATACACTACTACACTATACACTGCTACACTACACACTACTACACTACACACTACTACACTATACACTACTACACTATACACTACTACACTACACACTACTACACTATACACTACTACACTATACACTACTACACTATACACTACTACACTATACACTACTACACTATACACTACTACACTATACACTACTACACTATACACTACTACACTATACACTACTACACTATACACTACTACACTATACACTACTACACTATACACTACTACACTATACACTACTACACTATACACTACTACACTATACACTGCTACACTACACACTACTACACTACACACTACTACACTATACACTACTACACTATACACTACTACACTATACACTACTACACTATACACTACTACACTATACACTACACTACTACACTATACACTACTACACTATACACTGCTACACTACACACTACTACACTACACACTACTACACTATACACTACTACACTATACACTACTACACTACACACTACTACACTATACACTACTACACTATACACTACTACACTATACACTACTACACTATACACTACTACACTATACACTACTACACTATACACTACTACACTATACACTACTACACTATACACTGCTACACTACACACTACTACACTACACACTACTACACTATACACTACTAAACTACTACACTATACACCACTACACTATACACTACTACACTATACACTACTACACTATACACTGCTACACTACACACTACTACACTACACACTACTACACTATACACTACTACACTAAACACTACCACACTATACACTACTACACTACTACACTATACACTACTACACTACACACTACTACACTATACACTACTACACTACTACACTACACTATACACTACTACACTATACACTACTACACTATACACTACTACACTATACACTACTACACTATACACTACTACACTATACTATACACTACTACACTATACACTATACACTACACACGACTACACTATACACTACTACACTATACACTACTACACTATACACTACTACACTATACACTACTACACTACACACTACTACACTATACACTACTACACTATACACTACTACACTATACACTACTACACTATACACTACTACACTATACACTACTACACTATACACTACTACACTACACTGTAAACTATACATTACTTCACTACACTATACACTACTACACTACACTAGACACTACTACACTATACACTACTACACTATACACTACTACACTATACACTACTACACTATACACTACTACACTATATACTACTAAACTATACACTACTACACTATACACTACTACACTATACACTACTACACTATACACTACTACACTATACACTACACTATACACTACTACACTATACACTACTACACTATACACTACTACACTACACTAGACACTACTACACTATACACTACTACACTACACTATACACTACTACACTATACACTACTACACTATACACTACTAAACTATACACTATACACACTATACACTACACTATACACTACTACACTACTACACTACACACTACTACACTATACACTACTACACTATACACTACACTATACACTACTACACTATACACTACTACACTACACACTACTACACTACACACTACTACACTACACACTACTACACTATATACTACTACACTATACACTTCTACACTATACACCACTACACTGTACACTACACTACTACACTATACACTACTACACTATACACTACTACACTATACACTACTACACTATACACTACTACACTATACACTACACTATACACTACTACACTATACACTACTACACTACACTGTAAACTATACATTACTTCACTACACTATACACTACTACACTACACTAGACACTACTACACTATACACTACTACACTATACACTACTACACTATATACTACTAAACTATACACTACTACACTATACACTACTACACTAAACACTACTACACTATACACTACTACACTATACACTACTACACTATACACTACTACTACTACACTAATACACTATACACTTCACTATACACTACTACACTATACACTACTACACTATACACTACTACACTATACACTACTACTACACTATACACTACACTATACACTACTACACTATACACTACTACACTATACACTACTACACTACACACTAGTACACTAAACACTACACTATACATTACTACGCTACACTATACACTACTACACTAAACACTACTACACTAAACACTACACTATACATTACTACACTACAGTATACACTACTACACTAAACACTACTACACTATACACTACTACACTATACACTACTACATTATACACTACTACACTATACACTACTACTACACTAATATACTATACACTACACTATACACTACTACACTATACTCTACTACACTATACACTACTACTACACTAATACACTATACACTACACTATACACTACTACACTATACACTACTACACTATACACTACTACACTGCACACTACTACACTAAACACTACACTATACATTACTACGCTACACTATACACTACTACACTACACACTACTACACTAAACACTACACTATACATTACTACACTACACTATACACTACTACACTACACACAACATTAATTCGTACACGATCTCACTCAAACAAGAACAAACACCTTTATTATGAGTAATATTTGTCGATGAAAGCTTACGTGTCAAACAGAACGAATGAATGAGTTAGTGAATGAGTTAGTGAGTGAATGAGTTAGTGAGTCAATGAGTGGGTGAATCAGTGAGTGAATGAGTGAGTGAATGAGTGAGTGAGTGAATGAGTGAGTTTAGTCAATGAGTGAGCGAACGAGTGAGTGAATAGAGATAGTGAGTGTGTGAATGAGAGAGTGAATCAGTGAGTGAATGAGTGAGTGAGTGAATTAGTGAGTTTAGTGAATGAGTGAATGAGTGAGTGAATGAGATAGTGAGTGTGTGAATGAGTGAGTGAATGAGATAGCGAGTGAGTGAATGAGTGAGTTAGTAAATGAGTGAATTAGTGAGTGAGTGAACAAGTGAGTGAATGAGTGAGTTAGTGAATGAGTGAGTTAGTGAATGAGTGGGTGGATGAATGAGTACATGAGTAATTGAATTAGTGAGTGAATGAGTGAGTTAGTGAATGAGTGGGTGGATGAATGAGTGCATGAGTAAGTGATTTAGTGACTGAATGAGTGAGTGAGTGAATGAGTGGGTGAGTGAGTGAATGGAGTGAATGATTGAGTTAGTGAATAGGTGAGTGAATGAATGAGTGATTGAGTGAGTGAATTAATGAGTGAGTGAATGAGTTAGTGAGTGAGTAAATGAGTGAGTGAATGAGTAAGTGAGTGAATGATTGAGTGAATGAATTCGTGAGTGAGTGAGTGATTGAGTGAGTGAATGAGTGAATTAGATAGTGAGTGAGTGAATGAGTGAGTGAGTGATTGAGTGAGTGAATTAGATAGTGAGTGAGTGAATGAGTGAGTGAGTGATTGAGTGAGTGAGTGAGTGAATGAATGATTGAGTGAATTAGTGAGTGAATGAGTTAGTGAGTGAATGAGTCAGTTAGTGAATGAGTGGGTGGATGAATGAGTGCGTGAGTAAGTGATTGAGTGAGTGAATGAGTGAGTGAGTGAATGGAGTGAATGATTGAGTGAGTGAGTGAATGATTGAGTGAGTGAGTGAATGGCTGTGTTCGTGAATGAGTTCGTGAATGAGTGGGTGAGTGGGTGAGTGAATGGAGTGAGTGAATGGTTGAGTGAGTGAGTGGGTGAGTGAGTGGGTGAGTGAATGAGTGAGTCAGTGGGTAAGTGAATGAGTGAGTGAGTGGGTGAGTGGGTGGGAGAGTGAATGAGTAAGTGAATGAGTGAGTGAGTGAATGATTGAGTGAGTGAATGATTAAGTGAGTGAATGGCTGTGTTCGTGAATGAATTCGTGAATGAGCGGGTGAGTGAGTGGGTGAGTGAGTGGGTGAGTGAGTGGGTGGGTAAGTGAGTGGGTGGGTAAGTGAATGAGTAAGTGAATGAGTGAGTGGGTGAGTGGGTCGGAGAGTGAATGAGTAAGTGAATGAGTGAGTGGGTGAGTGGGTGGGAGAGTGAATGAGGCTACATGGGGGAGCTTTGTCTGTGTGTGGTGGTGAGGAGACAGTGGTGAGCAGATTTTGGTGAGGAATCTTCTACCGCCTCTTGGCACTCTGTCTGGAAGACACGGCTGTAACACACAGAGACACACAGAGAGACACACAGAGACACACAGAGAGACACACAGAGACACATAGAGACACACACAGAGAGACACACAGAGACACAGAAAGAGACACACAGAGAGACACACAGAGACACACACACAGAGACACACAGAGACACAGAGAGAGACACACTGAGACACAGAGAGACACACACACAGAGACACACAGAGACACAGAGAGAGACACACAGAGACACACAGAGACACACAGAGAGACACACAGAGAGACACAGACAGAGAGAGACACACTGAGACACAGAGAGACACACACAGAGAGACACAGAGAGAGAGAGACACACTAACAGAGACACAGAGAGAGACACAGACAGAGAGACACACAGAGACACAGACAGAGAGACACTGACAGAGACACAGAGAGACACACAGAAACACACAGAGAGAGACACACAGAGAGAGACACACAGAGAGAGAGAGACACAGAGAGAAACATACAGAGACCCACACAGAGAGACACAAAGAGAGACACAGAGAGAGACACACTGACAGAGACACAGAGAGAGAGAGACACAGAGAGAGACACACACAGAGACACACAGAGACACAGAGAGAGACACACTGACAGAGACACAGAGAGAGAGAGACACACACAGAGAGACACACAGAGACACACAGAGACACATAGAGACACACACAGAGAGACACACAGAGACACACAGAGAGACACACTGACAGAGACACAGAGAGAGACACACACAGAGACACAGAGACACACAGAGACACACATAGACACAGAGAGACACAGACAGAGAGGCACTGACAGAGACACAGAGACACACAGAGAGAGATACAGAGAGAGAGACACTCATAGACACACAGAGAGAGACACAGAGAGAGACACAGAGAGAGACACACAGAGAGAGACACACAGAGACACAGACAGAGAGACACTGACAGAGAAACAGAGAGAGAGACACAGAGATAGAGAGACACAGACAGATAGACACTGACAGACACACACACAGAGAGACAGGGAGAGACACAGAGAGAGACACAGACACAGAGAGAGATACAGAGAGACACAGGTAAAGACACAGATAGAGACACAGAGAGAGACACAGATACATAGAGGCAGAGAGAGAGATACACACACAGATAGACAGACAAAGAGAGATACATACACCAAGACAGACACACACAGATAGACAACAACAACCGCCATTGGCCACTAAGTGGCGGTGACGTCACCACGACGCTTGTGCCAGGCCATGTGCACCTTGAGGCCACGTGAAGTATCGAACGCCCGCTGGCAGGAGGTCACGGGGCAGACCCAGGTGCCATGGGTTGACTGAGATGACTGGCTGATGCACCACCTGTGCCCCCTACTGTGCCAACCTGCTGTGCTTTAGCTACCCGGGGCTCCGCTCGTTGTTGTGAGCATCGCTCCTCCGCCCTCCGTTGTTGTTGGAGGGCGACTGCCTCCAACTGACCAGCAGCATCCTTCACGAGCCTCCTCCACAGAGGCCGATTTGACACCGCTGGTAGCAGTCATCGGCAAGTCCACTCAGCTCCACGTCCTCCTGTACCACATCACTCCATCTCTTCTCTAGCCCATGCCGCGCCCGTTTAGCCCCCTCGATCCGGCCGAACAAAAGCTGTTTCGGCATGCGGTGGCTGGGCATACGGGCTACATGACCCATCCAACAAAACCTTGCCTGCCGGAGGAGCTCACCGATGGGACTTTGTCCAGATCTTTCAAGGATTTATGAGCTCCTCACACAATCCAGCCTGGTTAAACCCAGGATGGATCGTAGGCAGGTAAGCCTAAATGTTTCTAACTGGCGAAGATGCTCCATTAGGGGGGGTCCACGTTTCGCCAGCGTAGAGAAGGGATTGAATGACCGTGGCCGAGAAGACCTGAAGCTTAGTGTGGAGCGACAGACCAGGTAGCTTCCACACAGCGTTACGCAACCGATGAAAAGATATTGCCGCTCGACTGATTTGGAGTGAGACCTTTGCTGTCAAACCAGAGCCGGTCATGAGCAAACTGCCCAGGTATGGGAAACTCTCCACTCGCTCCACAACTGCCCCATCACCGATTGGGAAATGTGGGGGTGGAGTGTCCGATGGTACAAAATACTCAGGCAGGTGCTTAGTTTTGGTGGGGCTGATGGTAAGGCCCCACCTCTTAGTGGCAAGTTCCAGGTTCAGCAGCAGCGCCTCCAACTCCTCCTCTGAGTGAGCAGCAATTACCAAATCATCAGCATACATAATGTGGTTGAGCAATAGGGAGCCATCCCTTGACCGCACCTGGGCATTGATCAGCCTCCCATTGTATCTGTACCAGATGGAAATTCTTCCTTTATAGCCATAGAAAGTTTATCAGAAAAAGTGTTCAAAGATGGTTTTAAATAATGTGGGAGCCAGAGGACATCCCTGTCGCACCCCAAGATGTACAGTGAAAGGCTCTGACTCCCGGCCACGTAGTTTTACCCGGGCCCGCTCACCATCATGAAGATCTGTAATGATCGTGAGCAGAGGGTCAGGGACTCTGAAAGCACGAAGAACAACCCAGAGCCCAGGCCTACTGATGGTATCATAGGCCTTGACCAGGTCAATAAAGCAGAGATGTAGGTCTTGCTGAAATTCTGCTGTAGCAGACGGACAGAGAATATGGCATCTGTGCAGGACCGCCCTTTCCTGAAACCACATTGGGGCTCCGCAAGCCTCTTCTCAGCGTGCCTAGCAAGGCGATGTTGAATAATCCTTGCCAGGACCTTTCCCGGCACACTGAGGAGTGAGATGCCCCTGTAGTTGTTACAGTCTGTGTGGTCCCACTTCTTAAAGAGGGGGACCACCAGGGCATCCTTCCAATCCTGCGGAACCCGTCCAGTGGTCCAGACTGTTGTTATGATGTCATGTAGGGCAGTCTGTGCACAAACGCCACCCTCCCTCAGCATTTCGCTTGGGAGATCATCTCTGCCCGGTGCCTTTCCTGGTCTCAGACTCTGGATCGCCTTCAGTACTTCCTCAACAGATGGCACCTCAGCCAGCCACTCACAGGGGGTGACTTCTCCCAATATTTGAGGCACTGCAACCTCAGCAGGGTCATCCTCACTTTGTGCCACGATGTTTTCCAGGCGGAGGGATTTCCCCTCTCCCAAGACCTCACAGAAATGCTCAAAAATCTGTTAACCTGTTCCTGGGGGTCGGAGATTGGATCACCATTCTTTCCCCTAATGATGGTGATAGGTGTGGCGCTGCAGGTTACGATTTTATGGAGTGATCGCAGGCCACTGAAGCAGATTCCATCTATTCAGCAACCCGGCTCTCCGAACCTCCGAGCGAAGGCTGCGGTAAGCCTCCTCATTTTCTGATGTGGGATGCTGTAGCCGATGAGAGTGGGCCTGTTGCTTTTTCTCAGCCAGCCTGAACACCTCCTCTGTCAGCCAGGGTCTCTGGGGAGGTCTGGACTGTGCACCCAAAACAGCCATTGCAGCTGCATGAGTCACAGTCCTAAACCTCACCCATTTCCCCTCGACATCAGGAGGAGTGGGGGACGATGCCAACCCCAGCCGCAAGCGATGATTAAATTCTCACTTGCAACTTTCATCAGCTAGCTGAGACCATGCTATTGATGACAAGTTGATGGTCAGAGGGCAGATCAGCTCCACGGTAGGTCCTGGTGTCAAGGACATGGGCTCGCATCCGCTGTTCCGTCACTATGTAGTCCAGCAGATGTTCTTGCTTGGACCCGGCATGCATTCATGATGTTGTGTGGATGCGCCGATGCCGGAACAGCGTGTTGGTAATTACAAGCCCATGGGCTGCATAGAAGTCTAGCAGCCTCCTACCGTTGTTATTGGGCTGATCTGGCCCATGCCCTCCAATCACTCCAGACCAGGTGCCAGCATCATGACCAACTCGGGCATTAAAGTCACCCAACAAGATGACTCTATCCCGAGGGGCCACTTTAGCCAGCACCTGTGACAGGAGGTCATAGAAGGCATCTGACTCATCGGCTTTGCCTGCATCACTCCACGGATGTTCGTCTTCGGTGGGGGCATAAGTAACCACGACCACCACTCCTCGCCTCCGGTTGATAGGAAGGCGAGCCCAAAGTAGCCTGGGGCTTACAGCTTCCCACACCTCACCGCCACGCTCCCACGCCCCCTTCATTCTTTTGTTCAGAAGAAGAGCCACACCCTGCTGTTTGGCAGTCTGCTGCCCCGAGTAGAGGACTGTCCACCCCTCATGGTGGCAGGAGCCAGAGCCGGTCCACTGGACCTCCTGAATGCCGCAGAGATCCAGGCGGTACCGGTCCAGCTCCCGACAGAGGAGTGGCAGCCTCTCCTCCGCAGTGAGCGTTCGAACATTCCACGTGGCCATCCGTAGTGGCTTTTCGTTGTTTCTGGAGGAGCCCCGAGGGTAGAGATTCAATCTCCTGGCTCCGCCAATTGGGGTTTGGCCAGGAGATGTCATAGACGCCTGGCCCCCCGGGGCCTCCGGCACAAGCTTATTAGTTTCATATTTTAATCGTAGTTTAGAGTTGCCCGTCCGGCACCGCGAGGAGGTAGGGGGTTGTTTTGCCGGACACAGATACACACAGAGACACACAGACACACAGGCACACTCACAGACACACACACAGATACACACACAGACATACATACACACACAGACACACTCACAGACACAGATACACGCAGAAACACACACACAGACACACACAGAAACACACACAGACACACACTCAAACACACGCACAGATACACACACAGACACACACACAGACACACTCACATACACACTCACAGGGGTTGGTGGGCCGGCTGAGGATGGAGTCAAGGGCCTCCTCCAGACTCTGCTTCTGCTCTCGCAGTCCCCCATCACTCGCTGCGTCCGCAGAGACGCGGAGCCACTCCCGGCGAGACACACACGCTCCTTGGAGGAAGCGCTGTCACACAGAGACACACACTGAGACACACACACAGAGACACACACAGAGACACACACACAGAGACACACACAGAGACACACACAGAGACACACACACAGAGACACACAGAGACACACACGCTCCTAGGAGGAAGCGCTGTCACACAGAGACACACACAGAGACACACACAGAGACACACACTGAGACACACACGCTCCTAGGAGGAAGCGCTGTCACACAGAGACACACACAGAGACACACACTGAGACACACACAGAGACACACACACAGAGACACACAGAGACACACAGAGACACACACACAGAGACACACACAGAGACACACACAGAGACACACACAGAGACACACACGCTCCTAGGAGGAAGCGCTGTCACACAGAGACACACACTGAGACACACACACAGAGACACACAGGGACACACACAGAGACACACACAGAGACACACACTGAGACACACACGCTCCTAGGAGGAAGCGCTGTCACACAGAGACACACACTGAGACACACACACACAGACACATAGAGACACACACAGAGACACACACAGAGACACACAGAGACACACACAGAGACACACACAGAGACACACACAGAGACACACACGCTCCTAGGAGGAAGCGCTGTCACACAGAGACACACACTGAGACACACACACAGAGACACACACAGAGACACACACAGAGAGACACACACAGAGACACACACACAGAGACACACACAGAGACACACACAGAGACACACACGCTCCTAGGAGGAAGCGCTGTCACACAGAGACACACACTGAGACACACACACACAGAGACACACACAGAGACACACACACAGAAACACACACAGAGACACACACACAGAGACACACAGAGACACACACGCTCCTAGGAGGAAGCGCTGTCACACAGAGACACACTGAGACACACACACAGAGACACACAGAGACACACACACAGAGACACACACAGAGACACACAGAGACACACACACAGAGACACACAGAGACACACAGAGACACACACGCTCCTAGGAGGAAGCGCTGTCACACAGAGACACACACTGAGACACACACACAGAGACACACAAAGAGACACACACACAGAGACACACACAGAGACACACACACAGAGACACACAGAGACACACAGAGACACACACGCTCCTAGGAGGAAGCGCTGTCACACAGAGACACACACTGAGACACACACACAGAGACACACAGAGAGACACACACACAGAGACACACACAGAGACACACACAGAGACACACACAGAGACACACACACAGAGACACACACAGAGACACACACAGAGACACACACATAGACACACAGAGACACACACAGAGACACACACTGAGACACACACAGAGACACACACAGAAACACGCACAGATACACACACAGAGACACATACAGAGACACACACGCTCCTAGGAGGAAGCGCTGTCACACAGAGACACACACTGAGACACACACACAGAGACACACACACAGACACACACAGAGACACACACAGAGACACACAGAGACACACACACAGATATACACACAGAGACACACACACAGAGACACACAGACACACACACAGACACACACACGCTCCTAGGAGGAAGTGCTGTCACACAGAGACACACACTGAGACACACACACAGAGACACACACAGAGACACACACACAGAGACACACACAGAGACACACACAGAAACACACAGAGACACACACTGAGACACACACAGAGACACACACAGAGACACACACAGAGACACACACACAGAGACACACAGACACACACACAGACACACACACACTCCTAGGAGGAAGCGCTGTCACACAGAGACACACACACAGAGACACACACACAGAGACACACACACAGAGACACACACACAGAGACACACACACAGAGACAGACACTGAGACACACACACAGAGACACACAGAGACACAAACAAAGACACACACAGAGACACACACAGAGACACACACAGAGACACACATGCTCCTAGGAGGAAGCGCTGTCACACAGAGACACACACTGAGACACACACACAGAGATACACAGAGACACACACAGAGACACACACAGAGACACACACAGAGACACACACGCTCCTAGGAGGAAGCGCTGTCACACAGAGACACACACTGAGACACACACACAGAGACACACAGAGACACACACAGAGACACACACAGAGACACACACAGAGACACACACGCTCCTAGGAGGAAGCGCTGTCACACAGAGACACACACAGAGACACACACACAGAGACACACACACAGAGACACACACACAGAGACACACACACAGAGACACACACACAGAGACACACACACAGAGACACACACACAGAGACACACACACAGAGACACACACACAGAGACACACACACAGAGACACACACACAGAGACACACACACAGAGACACACACACAGAGACACACACACAGAGACACACACACAGAGACACACACACAGAGACACACACACAGAGACACACACACAGAGACACACACACACAGAGACACACACACAGAGACACACACACAGAGACACACACACAGAGACACACACACAGAGACACACACACAGAGACACACACACAGAGACACACACACAGAGACACACACACAGAGACACACACACAGAGACACACACACAGAGACACACACACAGAGACACACACACAGAGACACACACACAGAGACACACACACAGAGACACACAGACAGAGACACACAGAGACACACACACAGAGACACACACACAGAGACACACACACAGAGACACACACACAGAGACACACACACAGAGACACACACGCTCCTAGGAGGAAGTGCTGTCACACAGAGACACACACTGAGACACACACACAGAAACACACAGAGACACACACACACAGACACACACAGAGATACACACAGAGACACACACAGAGACACACACAGAGACACACACAGAGACACACACAGAGATACACACGCTCCTAGGAGGAAGCGCTGTCACACAGAGACACACACTGAGACACAAAGACAAAGATCCCCCATATAGCCTTAACAGACTGTAGGGGCAAGTGCTGTTAGCGAGCACCTTTGAAGGCCGGAACGGTACACGAGGGGGTGGGTGGCCAGGACCACGCCCGACCGCCTTTGTCTCCCTAGTGGCGATGTTTACACACCGCTACACCAGGTACTCATTTTAGGCTGAGTCGACCTAGGGGAGGCCCGGGACCGGTTCAGATAATCGTCACTGGTGTTGGCCGTGAGCGGGAATCGAACCCGGGTCGCCAGGTTCATAGCGCAGCGCGCTAACCGCTACACTACCGCTCCCCACACTGAGACACACACACAGAGACACACACAGAGACACACACAGAGACACACACAGAGACACACATGCTCCTAGGAGGAAACGCTGTCACACAGAGACACACACTGAGACACACACACAGAGACACACACAGAGACACACACAGAGACACACACAGAGACACACAGAGACACACACGCTCCTAGGAGGAAGCGCTGTCACACAGAGACACACACTGAGACACACACACAGAGACACACACAGAGACACACACAGAGATACACACAGAGACACACAGAGACACACACAGAGACACACACGCTCCTAGGAGGAAGCACTGTCACACAGAGACACACACTGAGACACACACACAGAGACACACAGAGACACATACACAGAGACACACAGAGACACACATACAGAGACACACAGAGACACACACACAGAGACACACACAGAGACACACAGAGACACACACACAGAGACACACACAGAGACACACACAGAGACGCACACAGAGACACACAGAGACACACACACAGAGACACACACAGAGACACACACAGACACACACACGCTCCTAGGAGGAAGCGCTGTCACACAGAGACACACACTGAGACACACACACAGAGACACACAGGGACACACACACAGAGACACACACAGAGACACACACAGAGACACACAGAGACACACACACACAGACACACACAGAGACACACAGAGACACACACACAGAGACACACACAGAGACACACACAGAGACGCACACAGAGACACACAGAGACACACACACAGAGACACACACAGAGACACACACAGACACACACACGCTCCTAGGAGGAAGCGCTGTCACACAGAGACACACACTGAGACACACACGCAGAGCCACACAGAGACACACACAGAGACACACACACAGAGACACACACGCTCCTAGGAGGAAGCGCTGTCACACAGAGACACACACAGAGACACACACAGAGACACACACAGAGACACACACACAGAGATACACACAGAGACACACAGAGACACACACACAGAGACACACACTGAGACACACACAGAGACACACACACAGAGACACACAGAGACACACACACAGAGACACACACAGAGACACACGCAGAGACACACAGAGACACACAGAGACACGCACACAGAGACACACAGAGACACACATACAGAGACACACAGAGACACACAGACACAGAGACACACACAGAGACACACACAGAGACACACACACAGAGACACACACAGAGACACACACAGAGACACACACACAGAGACACACAGAGACACACACTGAGACACACACACAGAGACACACAGAGACACACACACAGAGACACACACACACAGAGACACAGACAGAGACACACACTGAGACACACACACAGAGACACACAGAGACACACACACAAAGACACACAGAGACACACACAGAGACACACAGAGACACACACAGAGACACACACACTGAGACACACACACAGAGACACAGAGACACACACACACAGACACACACAGAGACACACACAGAGACACACACACAGAGACACACACAGAAACACACACACAGAGACACACACACAGAGACACACACTGAGACACACACAGAGACACACACGCTCCTAGGAGGAAGCGCTGTCACACAGAGACACACACAGAGACACACACAGAGACACACACAGAGACACACACACAGAGACACACACAGAGACACACACACAGAGACACACAGAGACACACACAGAGACACACACAGAGACACACAGAGACACACACACAGAGACACACACAGTGACACACAGAGACACACACAGAGACCCACACAGAGACACACAGAGACACACACACAGAGACACACACAGAGACACACTGAGACACACAGAGACACACGGAGACACACACGCTCCTAGGAGGAAGCGCTGTCACACAGAGACACACACAGAGACACACACAGAGACACACACAGAGACACACACACAGAGATACACACAGAGACACACACACAGAGACACACACTGAGACACACACAGAGACACACACACAGAGACACACAGAGACACACACACAGAGACACACACAGAGACACACGCAGAGACACACAGAGACACACAGAGACACGCACACAGAGACACACAGAGACACACATACAGAGACACACAGAGACACACAGACACAGAGACACACACAGAGACACACACAGAGACACACACACAGAGACACACACAGAGACACACACAGAGACACACACACAGAGACACACAGAGACACACACTGAGACACACACACAGAGACACACAGAGACACACACACAGAGACACACACACACAGAGACACACACTGAGACACACACACAGAGACACACAGAGACACACACACAAAGACACACAGAGACACACACAGAGACACACAGAGACACACAGAGACACACACAGAGACACACACACTGAGACACACACACAGAGACACAGAGACACACACACACAGACACACACAGAGACACACACAGAGACACACACACAGAGACACACACAGAGACACACACACAGAGACACACACACAGAGACACACACTGAGACACACACAGAGACACACACGCTCCTAGGAGGAAGCGCTGTCACACAGAGACACACACAGAGACACACACAGAGACACACACAGAGACACACACACAGAGACACACACAGAGACACACACACAGAGACACACAGAGACACACACAGAGACACACACAGAGACACACACACAGAGACACACACAGAGACACACAGAGACACACACAGAGACCCACACAGAGACACACAGATACACACACACAGAGACACACACAGAGACACACTGAGACACACAGAGACACACGGAGACACACACACAGAGACACACACAGAGACACACACACAGAGACACACACAGAGACACACACACAGAGACACACAGAGACTCACACAGAGACACACACACAGAGAAACACAGAAACACACAGAGACATACAGAGACACACGGAGACACACACAAAGAGACACACACACAGAGACACACACTGAGACACACAAAGACACACACAGACACACACACAGAGACACACAGAGACACACACACAGAGACACACACAGAGACACACACAGAGACTCACACAGAGACACACACAGAGAGACACACACAGAGACTCACACAGAGACACACACAGAGACACACATAGACACACACACAGAGACACACACAGAGAGAAACACAGAAACACACAGAGACACACAGAGACACACAGAGACACACAGAGAATCACACAGAGACGCACACACAGAGACACACACACAGAGAGACACACAGAGACACACACAGAGACTCACACAGAGACACACACTTAGACACACACAGAGACACACACTTAGACACACACAGAGACACACACACAGAGACACACACAGAGACTTACACAGAGGGTGAGCCAGAGACACACAGAGACAGAGACACACAGAGTGAGACAGAGACACACAGGGTGAGACACACAGAGACAGAGACACACAGAGTGAGACAGAGACACACAGGGTGAGACACACAGAGACAGAGACACACAGAGTGAGACACACAGGGTGAGACACACAGGGTGAGACACACAGAGTGAGACAGTGAGACAGTGAGACAGAGTGAGACAGGGTGAGACAGGGTGAGACAGTGAGACTAGGTGAGACAGTGAGACAGAGTGAGACAGTGACACTCAGGGTGAGACAGAGAGACAGAGTGAGACAGTGAGACAGGGTGAGACAGAGAGACAGAGTGAGACAGAGAGACAGGGTGAGACAGAGAGAGAGAGTGAGACAGTGAGACAAGGTGAGACAGTGAGACAGAGTGAGACAGAGACACACAGAGTGATACAGTGAGACAGTGAGACAGAGACACAGGGTGAGACACACAGAGTGAGACAGTGAGACAGTGAGACACTGAGACAGAGAGACAGTGAGACAGAGACACACAGAGTGATACAGTGAGACAGTGAGACAGACACACACAGGTTGAGACAGAGACACAGGGTGAGACAGAGACACAGAGTGAGACAGAGTGAGACAGAGACACACAGAGTGAGACAGAGTGAGACAGAGAGACAAGGTGAGACACAGTGAGACAGAGTGAGACAGAGTGAGACAGTGAGACAAGGTGAGACACACAAGGTGAGACAGAGAGACAGAGTGAGACAGAGTGAGACAGAGACACAGGGTGAGACAGTGAGACAGAGAGACAGAGTGAGACAGTGACACAGAGTGAGACAAGGTGAGACAGAGAGACAGAGTGAGACAGAGACACAGGGTGAGACAGAGAGACAGAGTGAGACAGAGACACACACCTTGTCTTCCTTGCTAAGCCTCACGTGACACTGCTGAGGATTCTGAACCAGCGACTCAATCTCTGAGACGCGCAGCAGCAGAGCTTGCTTCAGCTCTACACACACACAGACACACACACCACACACACACACATTCACACACACACACATTCACACAAGATATTGCCGCTCGACTGATTCGGAGTGAGACCTCTGCTGTTAAACTGGAGCCAGTCATAAGCACACTGCCCAGGTATGGGAAACTCTCCACTCTCTCCACCACTGCCCCATCACCGATTGGGAGTTGTGGCGGTGGAGTGTTCGATGGTACAAAATACCCAGGCAGGTGCTTAGTTTTGATGGGGCTGATGGTAAGGCCCCATCTCTTAGTGGCAAGCTCCAGTCTCAGCAGCAGCGTCTCCAACTCCTCCTCTGAATGAGCAGCTATTACCAAATCATCGGCATACATAACGTGGTTGAGCAATAGGGAGCCATCCCTTGACCGCACATGGGCATCGATCAGCCTCCCATTATATCTGTACCATATGGAGATTCCCCCGGTGCAGCTATTGAAGGCTTCACGAACTACGTGGTCAAAATAGATGTTAAATAATGTGGGAGCCAGAGGACATCCCTGTCGCACCCCAAGGTGTGCAGGGAATGGCTCTGACTCCCGGCCACGTAGTTTTACCCGGGCCCGCTCACCAACATGAAGGTCCTTAATGATCGTGAGCATAGGGTCAGGTACTCCAAAAGCACGAAGAACAACCCAGAGCCCAGGCCTACTGATGGTATCATAGGCCTTGACCAGGTCAATAAAGCAGAGATGTAGGTCTTGTTGGAATTCCCTACACCTCTGCTGTAGCAGACGGACAGAAAATATGGCATCTGTGCAGGACCGCCCTTTCCTGAAACCGCATTGGGGCTTCACAGACACACAGAGGCGCAGAGACACCACACACACAACACACAGAGACACCACACACACAACACACACACCACACACAGAGACACCACACACACAACACACACACCACACACAGAAACACCACACACAACACACACAGACAGACACCACATATCCACAGCACACAACCACCACACACACCACGCAACACACACATCACCCCACACACACAACACACACACAGACAGACACCACATATCCACAGCACACACAACCACCACACACCACGTACACAACACACACATCACACCACACACCCAACACACAGAGACACACACCCACACAATCACAGTGACCCACACACACACACACCCATAGAGACCACTACTCACACACCCCCAATACACTCCCCATACTCCCCCTCCTCATCATCACCATCATTCTCTCTATCTCTCACCATCATCATCACCATTGTCACCATCATTCTCTCTCTCCATCACCATCATCATTCTCAGAGACTCCAAAAGCACCAAGAACAACCCAGAGCCCAGGCCTACTGATGATATCATAGGCCTTGACCAGTTCAATAAATACAATCACCCACACACACTCTCATTCAATAACTGACCCACACACACTCACACACTCACTCACTCACCCACACACACTCATTCACTCTCATTCACTCACTCACCCACACACCCACACACTCACTCACTCACTCACCCACACACACTCACTCACTCACCCACACACACTCACTCACACCCACACATTCACTCACACACTCACCCACACATACTCACTCACCCACACTCACTCACTCACCCACTCACCTACTCACTCACACACTCACTCACTCACCCACACACACTCACACACTCACTCACCCACACATACTCACTCACCCACACTCACACAACCACACACTCACCTACTCACTCACCCACACACACACTCACTCACACACTCACACACACACTCACCCACACACTCACCCACACTCACACACACACCTAGTCACTCACACACTCACACACTCACCCACACCTATACTTACACAACCACACACTCACCTACTCACACTCACCCACACACACACTCACCCATACTCACACACACACCTACTCACTCACACACTCACCCACACTCATTCACACACACACTCACACAACCACACACTCACCTACTCACACTCACACACTCACACACACACTCTCATTCACTCACACACAAACACACACACAATCACCCACACGCACACTCACGCACTCACACACACACTCACTCACACACTCACACACACTCACTCACCCATACATACACTCACACACTCACACTCTCATTCACTCACACACAAACTCACACACTCACCAACACACTCACCCACACACACTCACACACTATCATTCACTCACATTCACTCACCCACACACACTCACTCACCCACTCACTCACACACACACCCACACACTCACACTCTCATTCACTCACACACAAACTCACACACTCACCCACACACACTCACCCACACACACTCACACACTATCATTCACTCACATTCACTCACCCACACTCACACACACTCACTCACACACTCACTCATACACACTCACTCACACACTCATACACACACTCACACACTCACTCACTAACACACACAAGTGGTGGGTGAGTGTGTAGGTGGGTGTGTGAGTATGTGGGTGGATGATTGGGTGGATGGGTGGGTGGGTGAGTGGGTGAGTGTGAGTGGGTGAGTGAGTGGGTGAGTGAGTGAGTGGGTGAGTGGGTGGGTGAGTGAGTGGGTGGGTGAGTGGGTGAGTGGATGAGTGTGTGGGTGAGTGAGTGGGTGAGTGGGTGGGTGTGTAGGTGAGTGAGTGAGTGGCTGAGTGACTGGGTGACTGAGTGAGTGAGTGGGTGAGTACCGGCAGTGAGGAGCGAGCGAGTGAGTGCCTGAGCGATTGAGTGAGTGACTGAGTGAGTGAGTGAATGACTGAGTGAGTGACTGAGTGAGTGAGTGAGTGACTGAGTGAGTGGCTGAGTGACTGAGTGACTGAGTGAGTGATTGAGTGAGTGACTTACTGAGTGAGTGAGTGACTGAGCGAGTGAGTGACTGACTGAGTGAGTGACTGAGTGAGTGGGTGAGTGCGTTAGTGAGTGAGTGACTGAGTGAGTGAGTGAGTGACTGAGTGGGTGAGTGAGTGGCTGAGTGAGTGAGTGACTGAGTGACTGACTGAGTGAGTGACTGACTGAGTGAGTGACTGAGTGAGTGGCTGAGTGACTGAGTGAGTGAGTGAGTGACTGAGTGAGTGACTGAGTGAGTGAGTGACTGACTGAGTGACTGAGTGAGTGACTGAGTGGGTGACTGACTGAGTGACCGAGTGACTGACTGACTGAGTGACTGACTGAGTGACTGAGTGACTGAGTGGGTGACTGAGTGAGTGACTGAGTGACTGAGTGACTGAGTGAGTGACTGAGTGAGTGACTGACTGAGTGGGTGACTGACTGAGTGAGTGACTGACTGAGTGACTGACTGAGTGAGTGACTGAGTGAGTGACCGAGTGGGTGACTGACTGAGTGACCGAGTGACTGACTGACTGAGTGACTGACTGAGTGACTGAGTGGGTGACTGAGTGAGTGACTGAGTGACTGAGTGAGTGAGTGAGTGCCCGAGTGGGTGACTGACTGAGTGACTGAGTGACTGACTGAGTGAGTGAGTGACTGACTGAGTGACTGACCGACTGAGTGACTGAGTGACTGACTGACTGAGTGACTGACTGACTGAGTGACTGAGTGACTGAGTGACTGACTGAGTGACTGACTGACTGAGTGACTGAGTGGGTGACTGACTGAGTGACTGAGTGAGTGACTGACTGACTGACTGAGTGACTGACTGAGTGACTGACTGACTGACTGACTGAGTGACTGACTGACTGACTGAGTGAGTGACTGACTGGCTGAGTGACTGAGTGACTGACTGACTGACTGAGTGACTGAGTGACTGACCGAGTGACTGACTGACCGAGTGACTGAGTGAGTGACTGACTGACTGAGTGACTGACTGACTGAGTGAGTGACTGAGTGAGTGACTGAGTGACTGACTGACTGAGTGACTGACTGAGTGACTGACTGACTGAGTGACTGAGTGGGTGACTGACTGAGTGACTGAGTGACTGACTGACTGACTGAGTGACTGAGTGACTGAGTGACTGAGTGACTGACTGACTGACTGAGTGACTGAGTGACTGACCGAGTGACTGACTGACCGAGTGACTGAGTGAGTGACTGACTGAGTGACTGAGTGACTGACTGAGTGAGTGACTGAGTGAGTGACTGAGTGACTGACTGACTGACTGAGTGAGTGACTGAGTGAGTGACTGAGTGACTGACTGAGTGGGTGACCGAGTGGGTGACTGACTGACTGAGTGAGTGACTGAGTGACTGACTGACTGAGTGACTGAGTGAGTGACTGACTGAGTGACTGACTGACTGAGTGACTGACTGACCGAGTGACTGACTGACCGAGTGACTGACTGACCGAGTGACTGAGTGACTGAGTGACTGACTGAGTGGGTGACCGAGTGGGTGACTGACTGACTGAGTGAGTGACTGAGTGACTGAGTGAGTGACTGACCGAGTGACTGACTGACCGAGTGACTGACTGACCGAGTGACTGAGTGACTGAGTGACTGACTGAGTGACTGACTGACTGACTGACTGACTGAGTGACCGAGTGGGTGACTACCGGCAGTGAGGAGCGGCCGGGTGCAGGCTTCGTGTCTCAGCCTGCTGCCGGCCCCGCGAGGGGTCTCGCCGCTGAAGCTGCGAGCCGAGGGGTCGGCGCCTGCTCGAAGCAGCGCAGAGACGCAGCGGGGACGGCCCCACAGCGCGGCGTGGTGGAGTGCAGAGTAGCCTGCAGTGACACAACAACAACAACAACAACCACGTGGCGGTGACGTCACCCCCAAGTGGCGGTGACGTCACCACGACGCTTGTGCCAGGCCACGTGCACCTTGAGGCTACCACGTGAAGTGTCGACCGCCCGCGGGCAGGAGGAGGTCACGGGGCAGACCCAGCAGGTGCCACGGGTCGACTGACTGAGATGACTGGCTGATGCACCACCTGTGCCCCCCTACTGTGCCAACCTTGATGTGATTTAGCCACCCGGCGCTCCGCTCGTTGTTGTGAGCGTCGCTCCTCCGCCCTCCGTTGTTGTTGGAGGGCGACTGCCTCCAACTGCCCAGTAGCGGCGTCCTTCACGAGCCTCCTCCACAGAGGCCGATCTTGACACCGCTGGTACCAGTCATCGGCAAGTCCACTCAGCTCCACGTCCTCCTGTACCACGTCACTCCATCTCTTCTCTAGCCCGTGCCGCGCCCGCTTAGCCCCCTCAATCCGGCCGAACAAAAGCTGTTTCGGCATGCGTTGGCTGGGCATGCGGGCTACATGACCAAGCTATCGCAGCCTTGCCCGCCGGAGGAGCTCACCGATGGGACCGTGCCGAGATCTTTCAAGGATTTGTGAGCTCCTCACACAATCCAGTCTGGTTAAACCCAGGATGGATCATAGGCAGGCCAGCCTAAATGTTTCTAACTGCGGAAGATGCTCCATTAGGGGGGTCCACGTTTCGCAAGCGTAGAGAAGGGAGGGAATGACCATGGCCGAGAAGACCTGAAGCTTAGTGCGGAGCGACAGACCAGGTAGCTTCCACACAGCGTTAAGCAACCGATGAAAAGATATTGCCGCTCGATTGATTAGGAGTGAGACCTCTGCTGTTAAACTGGAGCCGTTTATGAGCACACTGCCCAGGTATGGGAAACTCTCCACTCTCTCCACCACTGCCCCATCACCGATTGGGAGTTGTGGCGGTGGAGTGTCCGATGGTACAAAATACCCAGGCAGGTGCTTAGTTTTGATGGGGCTGATGGTAAGGCCCCATCTCTTAGTGGCACGCTCCAGTCTCAGCAGCAGCGTCTCCAACTCCTCCTCTGAATGAGCAGCTATTACCAAATCATCAGCAAACATAACGTGGTTGAGCAATAGGGAGCCATCCCTTGACCGCACCCGGGCATCGATCAGCCTCCCATTATATCTATACCAAATGGAAATTCCCCGGTACAGCTATTGAAGGCTTCATGAACTAAGTGGTCAAAATAGATGTTAAATAATGTGGGAGCCAGAGGACATCCCTGTCGCACCCCAAGGTGTACAGGGAATGGCTCTGACTCCCAGCCATGTAGTTTTACCCGGGCCTGCTCACCATCATGAAGGTCCTTAATGATCGTGAGCAGAGGGTCAGGGACACCCAAAGCACGAAGAACAACCCAGAACCCAGGCCTACTGATGGTATCATAGGCCTTGACTAGGTCAATAAATCAGAGATGTAGGTCTTGTTAGAATTCCCTACGACACACTCCCTCAGCATTTCGCTTGGGAGATCATCTCTGCCCGCTGCCTTTCCTGGTCTCAGACTCTGGATCGCCTTCAGTACTTCCTCAACAGATGGCACCTCAGCCAGCCACTCACAAGGGGTGACTTCTTCTTCCAAAATTTGAGGCACCGCAGCCTCAGCAGGGTCATTCCCACTTTGTGCCACGATGTTTTCCTGGCTGAGGGATTTCCCCTCCCCCAGGACCTCACAGAAATGCTCAGCAAATCTGCAAACCTGTTGCTGGGGGTCGGAGATTGGATCACCGTTTTCCCCCCTAATGATGGTAATAGGCGTGGAGCTGCAGGTTACTTTTTTATGGCGTTAAATAGAGATTTGTGATCGCGGGCCACTGAGGCAGACTCCATCTCCTCAGCAACCCGCGACCACTACCCATCCTTGCAGCGCCTCACGGCTCTCCGAACCTCCGAGCGAAGGCTGCGGTAAGCCTCCTCATTCTCTGACGTAGGATGCTGCAGATGATGAGAGTGGACCTGTCGCTTTTTCTCAACCATCCTAAACACCTCCTCTGTCGGCCAGGGTCTCTGGGGAGGTCTGGACCGCGTACCTAAAGCAGCCATTGCAGCTGCATGAGTCACAGTCCTAAACCTCGCCCATTTACCCTCGATATCAGGAGGAGTCGGGGACGATGCCAACCCCAGCCGCAAGCGATGATGAATTTCTCGCTTGCAACTTTCATCAGCTAGCTGAGACCAGGCCACCTTAGGTTGGAATGGGGTCCTGGGTGTACACCCACCAATGGAGTGAAAGAATGGCAGGCGCATCTTACAGATGACTAGTCGATGGTCAGTGGGCAGATCAGCTCCACGGTAGGTCCTGGTGTCAAGGACATGGGCTCGCATCCGCTGTTCCGTCACTATGTAGTCCAGCAGATGTTCTTGCTTGGACCCGGCATGCATCCATGATGTTGTGTGGATGCGCCGATGCCGGAACAGCGTGTTGGTAATTACAAGCCCATGGGCTGCACAAAAATCTAGCAGCCTCCTCCCGTTGTTATTGAACTGATCTGGCCCATGCCCTCCAATCACTCCAGACCAGGTGCCAGCATCATGAACAACTCGGGCATTGAAGTCAGCCAACAAGGTGACTCTATCCCGAGGGGCCACATTAGCTAGCACCTGTGACAGGAGGTCATAGAAGGCATCTGACTCATCGGCCTTGCCTGCATCCCTCCACGGATGTTCGTCTTCGGTGGTCGCATTAGTAACCACGACCACCATTCCTCGCCTCCGGTTGATGGGAAGGCGACCCCAAAGTAGCCTGGGGATTACAGCTTCCCACACCTCACTACCACACTAACACGGCCCCTTCATTCGTTTGTTCAGAAGAAGAGCCACTCCCTGTTGTTTGGCAGTCTCCTGCCCCGAGTAGAGGACTGTCCACCCCTCATGGTGGCAGGAACCAGAGCCGGTCCACCGGACCTCCTGAATGCCACAGAGATCCAGGCGGTACCGGTCCAGCTCCCGACAGGGGAGTGGCAGCCTCTCCTCCGCAGTGAGCGTTCGAACATTCCACGTGGCCACACACAGAGATAGGTGGTACACACACAGAGACACGTGATACACACACAGAGACACGTGGTACACACACAGAGACACGCGGTACACACACAGAGACACGTGGTACACACACACAGAGACACGTGGTACACACACACAGATACACGTGGTACATACACAGAGACACGTGGTACACACACAGAGACACGTGGTACACACACACAGAGACACGTGGTACACACACACAGAGACACGTGGTACACACACACACACAAACACGTGGTACACACACACAGAGACACGTGGTACACACACTGAGACACGTGGTACACACACAGAGAGACACGTGGTACACACACAGAGACACGTGGTACACACACAGAGAGACACGTGGTACACACACACAGTGACACGTGGTACACACACAGAGACACGTGGTACACACAGTGACACGTGGTACACACACAGAGACACGTGGTACACACACAGAGACACGTGGTACACACACAGAGACACGTGGTACACACACAGAGACACGTGGTACACACACAGACACGTGGTACACACACAGACACGTGGTACACACACACAGAGACACGTGGTACACACGGAGACACGTGATACACACACACAGAGACACGTGGTACACACACACACATACACGTGGTACACACACACAGACACGTGGTACACACACACAGAGACACGTGGTACACACACACACAGAGACACGTGGTACACACACACACATACACGTGGTACACACACACAGACACGTGGTACACACACATAGTGACACGTGGTACACACACACAGAGACACGTGGTACACACACAGAGACACGTGGTACACACACAGAGACACGTGGTACACACACAGAGACACGTGGTACACACACACACAGAGACACGTGGTACACACACACAGAGACACGTGGTACACACACACACACACAGAGACACGTGGTACACACACAGAGACACGTGGTACACACACAGAGACACGTGGTACACACACAGAGACACGTGGTACACACACACACACACAGACACGTGGTACACACACACAGAGACACGTGGTACACACACAGAGAGACACGTGGTACACACACACAGAGACACGTGGTACACACACACAGAGACACGTGGTACACACAGAGACACGTGATACACACACACAGAGACACGTGGTACACACACAGACACGTGGTAGACACACACACAGACACGTGGTACACACACACAGAGACACGTGGTACACACACAGAGACAGGTGGTACACACACACAGAGACACGTGGTACACACACACAGACACGTGGTACACACACACACAGAGACACGTGGTACACACACACAGAGACACGTGGTACACACACACAGAGACACGTGGTACACACACAGAGACACGTGGTACACACACACAGAGACACGTGGTACACACACACAGAGACACGTGGTACACACACACACACAAACACGTGGTACACACACACAGAGACACGTGGTACACACACTGAGACACGTGGTACACACACAGAGAGACACGTGGTACACACACAGAGACACGTGGTACACACACAGAGAGACACGTGGTACACACACACAGTGACACGTGGTACACACACAGAGACACGTGGTACACACAGTGACACGTGTTACACACACAGAGACACGTGGTACACACACAGAGACACGTGGTACACACACAGAGACACGTGGTACACACACAGAGACACGTGGTACACACACAGACACGTGGTACACACACAGACACTGGTACACACACACAGAGACACGTGGTACACACGGAGACACGTGATACACACACACAGAGACACGTGGTACACACACACACATACACGTGGTACACACACACAGACACGTGGTACACACACACAGAGACACGTGGTACACACACACACAGAGACACGTGGTACACACACACACATACACGTGGTACACACACACAGACACGTGGTACACACACATAGTGACACGTGGTACACACACACAGAGACACGTGGTACACACACAGAGACACGTGGTACACACACAGAGACACGTGGTACACACACAGAGACACGTGGTACACACACACACAGAGACACGTGGTACACACACACAGAGACACGTGGTACACACACACACACACAGAGACACGTGGTACACACACAGAGACACGTGGTACACACACAGAGACACGTGGTACACACACAGAGACACGTGGTACACACACACACACACAGACACGTGGTACACACACACAGAGACACGTGGTACACACACAGAGAGACACGTGGTACACACACACAGAGACACGTGGTACACACACACAGAGACACGTGGTACACACAGAGACACGTGATACACACACACAGAGACACGTGGTACACACACAGACACGTGGTAGACACACACACAGACACGTGGTACACACACACAGAGACACGTGGTACACACACAGAGACAGGTGGTACACACACACAGAGACACGTGGTACACACACACAGACACGTGGTACACACACACACAGAGACACGTGGTACACACACACAGAGACACGTGGTACACACACACAGACACGTGGTACACACACACACAGAGACACGTGGTACACACACACACAGACACGTGGTACACACAGAGACACTGGTACACACACAGACACGTGGTACACACACACAGAGACACGTGGTACACACACACACAGAGACACGTGGTACACACACACACAGAGACACGTGGTACACACACACACAGAGACACGTGGTACACACCCCTCGTGCTGCGCGCATTAGGCTCCGCCCCCAGCCTCAGCAGCTGGGCTATGACGTCGTCGCGCCCCAAGATGGCCGCGAGGTCGAGGGGCGACTTGCCGTGGCCGTCGCGGACGCACGCGGCCCCGGTGGGCCCGGTGGGCACGGCGGGCACGGCGGGCACGGTGGGCACAGCCCCGGTGGCCCCGGTGGGCACGGTGGCCCCGGTGGGCCCGGTGGGCACGGCAACGGCGTCCGCCAGGCGGCGCAGGGCGGCAGTGTGGCCCTCCAGCACCATCCTGTGCAGGGACTCGTCCATGGGCTAGGGGGGGGGGAGGGGGCACTAGTCACCCATAGTCACTCATAGTCACCCGTAGTCACTCGGTATAGTCACCCATAGTCACTCGGTATAGTCACCCATAGTCACCCATAGTCACTCGGTATAGTCACCCATAGTCACCCACACAGTCACCCACACAGTCACACAGTCACCCACACAGTCACACAGTCACCCACACAGTCACCCGCCTAGTCACCCACACAGTCACCCGCCTAGTCACCCGCCTAGTCACCCACACAGTCACCCACACAGTCACCCACACAGTCACACAGTCACCCACACAGTCACCCGCCTAGTCACCCGCCTAGTCACTCACCTAGTCACCCACACAGTCACCCGCCTAGTCACCCACACAGTCACCCACACAGTTACTCACACAGTCACCCACACAGTCACCCACACAGTCACCCACACAGTCACACAGTCACCCACACAGTCACCCGCCTAGTCACCCGCCTAGTCACTCACCTAGTCACCCACACAGTCACCCGCCTAGTCACCCACACAGTCACCCGCCTAGTCACCCGCCTAGCCACCCACACAGTCACCCGCCTAGTCACCCGCCTAGTCACCCGCCTAGTCACCCACACAGTCACTCATACAGTCACCTGCCTAGTTACTCACAGTCACCCTCACAGTCACCCACACAGTCACCCACACAGTCACCCGCCTAGTCACCCACACAGTCACCCACACAGTCACCCGCCTAGTCACCCACACAGTCACCCGCCTAGTCACCCACACAGTCACCCACACAGTCACCAGCCTAGTCACCTACACAGTCACCCACACAGTCACCCGCCTAGTCACCCCCACAGTCACCCGCCTAGTCACCCGCCTAGCCACCCACACAGTCACCCACACAGTCACCCGCCTAGTCACTCACCCAGTCACCCGCCTAGCCACCCACACAGTCACCCACACAGTCACCCACACAGTCACCCACACAGTCACCCGCCTAGACACCCACACAGTCACCCACACACTCACCCACACAGTCACTCACCCAGTCACCCGCCTAGTCACCCACAGAGTCACCCGCCTAGTCACCCACACAGTCACTCACCCAGTCACCCGCCTAGCCACCCACACAGTCACCCGCCTAGTCACCCACACAGTCACCCACACAGTCACCCGCCTAGCCACCCACACAGTCACCCACACAGTCACCCACACAGTCACCCACCCAGTCACCCGCCTAGTCACCCACAGAGTCACCCGCCTAGTCACCCACACAGTCACCCACCTAGTCACTCACCCAGTCACCCGCCTGTCACCCACACAGTCACCCACACAGTCACCCGCCTAGTTACCCTCCTAGTCACCCGCCTAGTCACCCACACAGTCACCCACCCAGTCACCCGCCTAGTCACCCGCCTAGCCACCCACCCAGTCTCCCACCTAGTCACCCGCCTAGTCACCCACACAGTCACCCACCCAGTCACCCACACAGTCACCCGCCTAGCCACCCACGCAGTCTCCCACCTAGTCACCCGCCTAGTCACCCACACAGTCACCTACACAGTCACCTGCCTAGTCACTCACCCAGTCACCCGCCTAGCCACCCACACAGTCACCCACACAGTCACCCACACAGTCACCCGCCTAGTCACCCACACAATCACCCACACAGTCACCCGCCTAGTCACCCACACAGTCACCCGCCTAGTCACCCGCCTAGTCACCCACACAGTCACCCACACAGTCACCCGCCTAGTCACCCACACAGTCACCCGCCTAGTCACCCACACAGTCACCCACACAGTCACCAGCCTAGTCACCCACACAGTCACCCGCCTAGTCACCCGCCTAGCCACCCACCCAGTCACCCGCCTAGTCACCCGCCTAGTAACCCACACAGTCACCCGCCCAGTCACCCACACAGTCACCCGCCTAGTCACCCACACAGTCACCCACACAGTCATCCACACAGTCACCCGCCTAGTTACCCTCCTAGTCACCCGCCTAGCCACCCACACAGTCACCCGCCTAGTTACCCTCCTAGTCACCCACACAGTCACCCACACAGTCACCCACACAGTCACCCGCCTAGTCACCCACACAGTCACCCACACAGTCACTCACACAGTCACCCACACAGTCACCCACACAGTCACCCGCCTAGTCACCCGCCTAGTCACCCACACAGTCACCCACACAGTCACCCACACAGTCACCCGCCTAGCCACCCACCCAGTCACCCGCCTAGTCACCCGCCTAGTCACCCACACAGTCACCCGCCTAGCCACCCACCCAGTCACCCGCCTAGTCACCCGCCTAGTCACCCACACAGTCACCCGCCTAGTCACCCGCCTAGCCACCCACCCAGTCACCCGCCTAGTCACCCGCCTAGTCACCCACACAGTCACCCGCCCAGTCACCCACACAGTCACCCGCCTAGTCACCCACACAGTCACCCACACAGTCATCCACACAGTCACCCGCCTAGTTACCCTCCTAGTCACCCGCCTAGCCACCCACACAGTCACCCGCCTAGTTACCCTCCTAGTCACCCACACAGTCACCCACACAGTCACCCACACAGTCACCCGCCTAGTCACCCACACAGTCACCCACACAGTCACTCACACAGTCACCCACACAGTCACCCACACAGTCACCCGCCTAGTCACCCGCCTAGTCACCCACACAGTCACCCACACAGTCACCCACACAGTCACCCGCCTAGCCACCCACCCAGTCACCCGCCTAGTCACCCGCCTAGTCACCCACACAGTCACCCGCCTAGCCACCCACCCAGTCACCCGCCTAGTCACCCGCCTAGTCACCCACACAGTCACCCGCCTAGTCACCCACACAGTCACCCACACAGTCACTCACCCAGTCACCCACACAGTCACCCGCCTAGTCACCCGCCTAGTCACCCACACAGTCACCCACACAGTCACCCGCCTAGTCACCCGCCTAGTCACCCACACAGTCACCCACACAGTCACCCACACAGTCACCCGCCTAGTCACCCACACAGTCACCCACACAGTCACCCGCCTAGTCACCCGCCTAGTCACCCACACAGTCACCCACACAGTCACCCATACAGTCACTCACCCAGTCACCACTGAGTGGCGGTGCCAGGCTGGGTGCACTTCGAGTGCAACGCCACCGGCGCGGTCTCCATGGCGACCACCACCACAACAGCCCCTCCCCCCACCCCCCGTGCGGTCTCCATGGCGACCACCCCCCGCCCGCCCCCGCCCCCACGGTCTCCTTGGCAACCACCCTCCCCCCGCTCCGCCCCCACGGTCTCCATGGCGACCACGGCCACCGGAAGCGCCGCGAGAGAGGCGGAAACGGAGTTAAATCTGTGAATAATTTAATAATTTATCGTAAACATTACAGATTAAATAGAGATATTCTTCTGGGGATGAGGGGGGTGGTGAATGTTTATTAAATCGTCAATTTGGCGCGTAAAGGATTTTGGTTTGTTTCGTGAACGGGAAAAAATAAACGTTAATGGTGGCGGACATGTTCGATGGGGGTTATGTCATCGGTGGCGGACATCTTACGCGGGGAACACGTCACTGCTGGCGGACATCTTACGTGGGCGGACACGTCACCGCTGGCGGACATCTTACGTGGGGATGGCGACATTTGTGGCGGACATCTTGCGTGGCACATACATCACGAGCGGCGTACATCTTACATGGGGATTACGTCATTTGTGGCGGACATGTTAGGTGAGGTTTGCGTCACTGCTGGCGGACATCTTACATGGGGGTGGGAGGGGTGTGAATGTGCGATCTGAGTCGGCCATGTTAGGTAGGGAGGCGTGGGGTAGAGGGGTTTGCTTTAAATCCGATATCTTGCGGCGGTCCAACCAGCCACGGGGTCGCTGTTTTGTCGATTCCACGGGGGGGCGGGCCCACTACCCTGAGTAAGATGGCCGCCTCGGGGCCTAACGAAGGCTGGACACCTCCATTGCTAAGCCTCGTAATAATAACAATAACAAGAATAATAACAATAACAATCATAACTGTCGATTTAAAGTATTTCGTGACTGCAGGGATTCATATTCTTGGTTCTTTCGGTAAAGTCACCACCACGAAGAAGGGAAACAATAAAATAATAAAAAATATATATTAAACAATAAATATTCTCACGACGTTTCGACTGCAACACAACACACCCATCATCAGGAAAATGTTAAAAAATTGGCGATTTTTTTCCCAACTTAATGTCCGTGGTGCTATAACCTTTAACAAACAAAAAAAACGCCACTTTTTTTTCAAAGTTTTCTTGCTGTAGTTTTCACACCTGCTGATGATGGTTGCTTGCGTTGCAATCGAAACGTCGTGAGGATTTTACTGTTTTATATTTTTATTATTTTATTGTTTCCCTTCTACGTGGCGGTGACTTTACCGAGAGAACCAAGAATAATAATTTAATTGTTTTATATTTTTATTATTTTATTGTTTCCCTTCTACGTGGTGACTTTACCGAGAGAACCAAAAATAATAATTTTAATCTTTTACAATAATTTTATTGTTTTATATTTGTATTATTTTATTATTTCCCTTCTACGTGGTGACTTTACCCAAAGAACCAAGAATAATAATTTTAATGTTTTATATTTTTATTATTTTATTGTTTCCCTTCTACGTGGTGACTTTACCCAAAGAACCAAGAATAATAATTGTATTGTTTTACAATAATTTTATTGTTTTATATTTTTATTATTTTATTGTTTCCCTTTTACGTGGTGGTGACTTTACCGAAAGAACCAATAATAATAATTTTATTGTTTTATATTTTTATTATTTTATTGTTTCCCTTCTACGTGGTGGTGACTTTACCCAAAGAACCAAGAATAATAATTTTATTGTTTTATATTTTTATTATTTTATTGTTTCCCTTTACGTGGCGGTGACTTTACCGAAAGAACCAAGAATAATAATTTTATTGTTTTACAATAATGTTATTGTTTTATATTTTTATTATTTTATTGTTTCCCTTCTACGTGGCGGTGACTTTACCGAAAGAACCAAGAATAATAATTTGAATGTTTTATATTTTTATTATTTTATTGTTTCCCTTCTACGTGGCGGTGGTGACTTTACCGAAAGAACCAAGAATAATAATTTTATTGTTTTATATTTTTATTATTTTATTGTTTCCCTTCTACGTGGTGGTGACTTTACCCAAAGAACCAAGAATAATAATTTTATTGTTTTATATTTTTATTATTTTATTGTTTCCCTTCTACGTGGTGGTGGTGACTTTACCCAAAGAACCAAAAATAATAATTTTATTGTTTTATATTTTTATTATTTTATTGTTTCCCTTCTACGTGGCGGTGACTTTACCGAGAGAACCAAGAATAATAATTTTAATGTTTTATATTTTTATTATTTTATTGTTTCCCTTCTACGTGGCGGTGACTTTACCGAAAGAACCAAGAATAATAATTTTATTGTTTTATATTTTTATTATTTTATTGTTTCCCTTCTACGTGGTGGTGACTTTACCGAAAGAACCAAGAATAATAATTTTATTGTTTTATATTTTTATTATTTTATTGTTTCCCTTCTACGTGGCGGTGACTTTACCGAAAGAACCAAGAATATGAATCCCTGCAGTCACGAAAGCTTTAGATCAAAAGTGTCCTATCATCTCGGCGTGTAGCAAATTAAAAAAGTACAATTACATTATGAGACCTCCTTTGCCAGAAACAAGATATAGGAATAGGTTTTTACCCTTTTAACTGGCACAAAAACTGACACCTTTATTCAAGGCATCGTGTCTGCAATAACCACAACACAAGCAGTCAAAATGATAATATTGGCACTGTCCTTGAATTTGATTGGTCCACACCAGAGACGGCTTTTCTTAGAGCCCTTAGTCTCCACTGGTGTTGGACCAGATGACACCACAAGGCGTACAACTCAAAAACAGCGCACCATCAGAGTATTGAGGGCTCGGGGTGAGCCTTTACATTATGAGACCTCCTTTGCCAGAAACAAGATATAGGAATAGGGTTTTACCCTTTTAACTGGCACAAAAAACTGACACCTTTATTCAAGGCATCGTGTTTGCAATAACCACAACACAAGCAGTCAAAATGCAAACAAAAAAAGACAACACTGATAATAATATTGGCACTGTCCTTGAATTTGATTGGTCCACACCAGAGACGGCTTTTCTTAGAGCCCTTTAGTCTCCATTGGTGTTGGACCAGAAGACGCCACAAGGCGTACAACTCAAAAACAGCGCACTGTCAAAGCTGTCTCGGGTGTGGACCAATCAAATTCAAGGACAGTGCCAATAATATTATTATCAGAGTTGTCTATTTTTGTTTGCATTTTGACTGCTTGTGTTGTGGTTATTGCAAACACGATGCCTTGAATAAAGGTGTCAGTTTTTGTGCCAGTTAAAAGGGTAAAAACCTATTCCTAAGTACAATTACTTTACGGTGCAAGTGAAAACATTGTTTTTGTTAAACATTAAAGTGGGGGGTTTTAATTTTAATTTTAATTTAGGGGGCCCCCCTTTATAACTTAATCCCACACGAATATTCTAACAATTCTCCCGATGACGGTGACGACTTTAAAGCTTTCGTGACTTTGGAAAAAGCCACGTTGGAGTAAAAAAAAATTGAAAGTCAAACATCAAAGTTAAGCGGCACAGCGATGGAAAACAACGAAATTAAATTGCACGACGTTTCGGAGGCAACGCAAGCTCAGGTGTAGCTGGCAACAGCACAAATCGCGTGATCGCCGGCCGCAGTCACGGACACTTCGACTCGAGAGCCAAAGGAAAATAACAATTAGATATATACTTAGTTCTTTCGGTAAAGTCACGTTGAAGGGAAACAACAAAATAATAAAATATATATAAAACAATAAAAATTCTCACGACATTTCGACCATAACACAAACGGTCGTCTTCAGATGTGAAAAACCAACACACCTGTTGCACCAACACACCTGTTGTACCAACACACCTGTTGTACCAACACGCCTGTTGTACCAACACAGTACCAACACACCTGTTGTACCAACACACCTGTTGTACCAACACACCTGTTGTACCAACACACCTGTTGTACCAACACACCTGTTGTACCAACACACCTGTTGTACCAACACAGTACCAACACACCTGTTGTACCAACACGCCTGTTGTACCAACACGCCTGTTGTACCAACACGCCTGTTGTACCAACACGCCTGTTGTACCAACACGCCTGTTGTACCAACACGCCTGTTGTACCAACACGCCTGTTGTACCAACACAGTACCAACACACCTGTTGTACCAACACGCCTGTTGTACCAACACACCTGTTGTACCAACACACCTGTTGTACCAACACACCTGTTGTACCAACACAGTACCAACACACCTGTTGTACCAACACGCCTGTTGTACCAACACAGTACCAACACACCTGTTGTACCAACACGCCTGTTGTACCAACACACCTGTTGTACCAACACAGTACCAACACGCCTGTTGTACCAACACAGTACCAACACACCTGTTGTACCAACACACCTGTTGTACCGACACACCTGTTGTACCGACACACCTGTTGTACCGACACACCTGTTGTACCAACACAGTACCAACACGCCTGTTGTACCAACACACCTGTTGTACCAACACACCTGTTGTACCAACACAGTACCAACACACCTGTTGTACCAACACAGTACCAACACGCCTGTTGTACCAACACACCGCCTGTTGTACCAACACACCGCCTGTTGTACCAACACACCGCCTGTTGTACCAACACAGTACCAACACGCCGCCTGTTGTACCAACACGCCGCCTGTTGTACCAACACGCCGCCTGTTGTACCAACACGCCGCCTGTTGTACCAACACGCCGCCTGTTGTACCAACACGCCGCCTGTTGTACCAACACGCCGCCTGTTGTACCAACACGCCGCCTGTTGTACCAACACGCCGCCTGTTGTACCAACACGCCGCCTGTTGTACCAACACGCCGCCTGTTGTACCAACACGCCGCCTGTTGTACCAACACGCCGCCTGTTGTACCAACACGCCGCCTGTTGTACCAACACGCCGCCTGTTGTACCAACACGCCGCCTGTTGTACCAACACACCTGTTGTACCAACACACCACCTGTTGTACCAACACGCCTGTTGTACCAACACACCTGTTGTACCAACACACCTGTTGTACC